AGGTAGCTTAACCAAGGAGAGAGAAAGAGAGAGAGAGAGAAACAGAGACAGAGACAGAGAGAGACAGAGACAGAGACAGAGACAGAGAGAAATAGAGAGAGAGAGCCAGAGGACATAACTTCTACCACATAAAAACAGGTGATCCTTATGAAATAGTTCCACAACTATATTGCAAAACCCAGAAAACAGATAATCTATTGATACATAAAATCCATTAAAGGAGATGGGCGGTGGTGGTGCACGCCTTTAATCCCAGCACTCAGGAGTCAGAGGCAAGCAGATCTTTGTGAGTTTGAGACCAGCCTGGTCTACAAGAGCTAGTTCCAGGACAGCCTCCAAAGCCACAAAGAAACCCTATTTCGAAAAACCAAAAAAAAAAGAGTGAATACCAACTGAATACCAATCAAATGTCTGGCATCAAAGAAAAGCTCAGAGCTGGGTTGTTTTATTAATTTTACTAAACAAGGACTCTTCTAAAATATTTTTTATTTTAGAAACAATCTTATTTTACATATCAATCCCCCATTCCCTTGCCCTCCCATCCTCCCATATCCCCCACTGCCCCCCAAGAGATCCCCCCACCCACTCCCCAAGGACAGTGAGGCCTCTACAGAGGAATATCAAAGTCTGTCACATCATTTGGGGGAGGGCCTATGCCCATGTATCTGGGCTGCAATAGTATCCCTCCATAGGAAATGGTCTCCCAAAGTCCATTTGTGCTCTAGGGAAAAACACTGGCTCCACTGTCAGAGGTCCCATAGACAGCCTTGGCCTCCTTTCTGGCACCCACATTCAGAGGGCTTGGTTCGGTCCAATGCTGTTTCCCCAGCTTTATGACTAGGGTCTTTGTGTTCTCACTAGGTCAGGTCAGCTGTTTCTGTGGGTTTCTCCAGCATGATCTTGGCTCCTTTGCTCATCCCTCCTCCCTCTCTACAACTGGAGGGAGTATGGCTCAGTGTTTAGCTGTGGGTACCTGCTTCTGCTTCAATCAGCTACTGGATGAAGGCTCTAGGATGGCAACCAAGGTAGTCATCAATCTCATAATATGGGAAAGGCATCAAAGGCAGCCTCTCTACTACTGCCTAGATTCTTAGTTGGGGTCATCCCTGTAGATCCCTGAACATTTCCCTAGTGCCAGACCTCTCTCTAAACCTATATTTGCTCTCCTCTATTCTTCCCCTCTCTCGGTCTTCCTGATCCCTCTTGTTCTCCTCCCTCCTCCTCTTCTCCCCTTCTCTTTTTCCTACCTCCCTTTTCTCTGCCCCCATGCTCCCAATTTGCTCAGGGGTTCTTGTTTGTTTCCCCTTCTTCAGGGGACCATGTGATTTTCTCTTGGGGTCCTCCTTGTTTCCTTAAAATAATTTTTAAAATGATTTAAAACCATTATTTCTCAATGTTTTCGAAGTAAACAAATGTAGTGTCTTCATGGGGGGGACTAAAAAAATTAAGTACAGAAGGCATGTGCCACAGCACAGTAAGGGATCTGCATGACAGTTGACTCCACAGCCTACAGCATCCTAAGCAGGGAAAGGATGAAATTGTTTCCACCAGCAGGAATAAGTTAGAGATGTCCACTTTCACCTCTTGCCAATGTAGGACTGGGTCTTAAAGCAAAGCAAAAATTAAAAAAGAAACAAATACGGACATCAAGGTAGAAAAGGGAAAGGCCACAGATCTTATGTACAGACATGATTTGCTATGATAAAATTCCCGAACACTCCACCAAACCACCTCTAGAGCTAAGAAAACAACTCAGTAAAGTAGCAGAACATATAATCAATATCCAGAAATTAATATCTGTTTATATAGCAATAACAAAGACACTGAGAAAGGCATGAACAAAGCAATCCAATTACAAAAGTTAAGAAATAAAATACCTAACAATAAATGAAATCAAGGATGTGAATGACCAATCACTATGATGAAAATTATTAAATACTCATGAAGAAACAAAACATACAACAGAAATAACCCCACAAAACTACAATTAAAGCAAAGGTTAAAACAATTGCATCCAGCTAAGAATCTCTCCATAGCCAGGGAACAGTCCGAAGAATGAAATGCCAAGCCATAGAATGAAACAATGTCAAATCTATTCTTCTAAAAAAATAAAATGATCTAACATTTAAAATGAGCAAAGACTGCCGGGCGTTGGTGGCGCACACCTTTAATCCCAGCACTCGGGAGGCAGAGGCAGGTGGATCTCTGTGAGTTCGAGGCCAGCCTGGTCTCCCGAGCGAGTGCCAGGATAGGCTCCAAAGCTACACAGAGAAACCCTGTCTCGAAAAAGAAAAAAAAAAATGAGCAAAGACCTGTAGCTATACATAGACTTTCTGTCACCTACCACAAAGAACCCACAGACGACCAATGTATAAATGGAAAAAACATTCAACATTGTGAATCGTCATAGAAATACAAGCCCTAACAATTTTATATCATTAAATTCACATAGTGACTATTATCAAAAACATTAAAAATATAGGTACTGATTAGTATGCAGATGTGGAGAACACTCAGATGAAGGTGGTAATTAAAATTAGTAGAGCCACACAGAAAACAGAGAGGAACTTCCTAAGAAGACAAATACTCAGTGACACCACTATGGGTTGTCAGTCTGTAGGAACTCAAATTGGCATATGGAAGAGATATCACATGTTTATCTCAGCAAAATTTACAGTAGTCAACCTAGGTATCCCTTGAAGAATGGCTACATAAAGAAAATGTATATTATATAATACATATTATGACATATATATATATTAAATGATAGGTGACTTAGCCACTCACTGAAAAGATTGAAATTCTGTCATTTGATGCAACAAGCATGTAACTAAGGACAGTAAAATAGTCAGCCACTGAAAGACAAAGAATGTAAGTTCATCTACATGAGAAAGAAGAATACTTGATCAAACAGCAGTATAGAATCACATAGGAGCTACCAGTGCCAAGAAGGGAAGATTGGGGAAATGAGAGTGAATTGTTAAAGAAGCCAGGGAACAACTGGTCAGAGGAATGGTTTTTAATGTTCACTAGAATGGTAGGACAACCAGAGTTGACCACAACTCATGGAAGGCTTCAAGATGCACAAGTGTTAAATGCTCTCAACAAAGAAGTTGTATCTGAGATGACAGATATACTAGTTACCCAGACCTGACCAGTGCATATTATAACATGAATTTCCATGTCAGACTATACTCCTTAAATACAGGTACTCAGCACATGTTAATTAAGCATAGGAAATATTTTACAGAATACGCTTCTTAAAAGAAGAAATCACACAAAACCTACATAGAGGGGAGCAGGCCTCGATGATCTTGGAAGATGACTACCCCACCCAAAGCCGTCTGCAGATGCAATGCAATCCATATTAAACCCCAAGCAGGTGCTCCAGAAGTTAGAAAGTAAATCCTTGTAGAGATGAGGATTCCCAAAGACCCACAGCCATATAAGCAGATGGATACTTTCTCATTTCAAAACCTACAGCAAAGCCACATAAACCAAAAAGCATAGCTACATGAACCAAAGCGCTGTGGTGTGGCATGAGGCTAGACACTGAGATCAATGGAATCAAACTGGAGGTGCAGAAATCTGAATAGGGGGTTGTGACTACTCATGTAGGAAGAATAATGTCTCAAAGTGCTGGAGAAACAGGGTATCCAAATGGGTTACATGGAGTCAGTACTCCACACATCAGAAACAAATGTGAATTTGAGACCCATCACAGTCCTGGACATGATGCTGAAGGACAATGGCCTTAACAGAAGGCAGGAGGTGATGCTACAGGACCTTGGACTTGTGAAGACACGCTTTCAATGTGACTCCAAAGCACAAGGCAGAAAACTGGTTGGAATGAAGCAAAGGTGAACTATTTACACAAAAGAACCTCAACACCAGGGTAAGCAAGTACATGGTGGGACTGTGAGTCGTGTGTTAACAAGGTCTGCCATACAGAATATACCAAACCATCAATAATGTCCCCCCAAACTACCCACTATTCGGAAATCTGTTACAGAGCTGAGCAGATAGTTTTCAAAAAGTGTCCAAAGGCAAATAAACATGAAAGGCTTGAGAAGAAGGTGAGTGGGAAGTCAGAAACCCTCTAGAACAGAGAATGCTCAGCCTGAGCTGACCGTTTAGTTGTCCGTGATGATCACAGTCCATCAACCAGACCCCAGAATTAAGCAACACCATACCCTATCCCAGCAGGCTGTAATCTGACCCACTTTCCTTGGAGGAGGTGAGTACAGCATTCTGGCCATGGCCACAATAGTCCCATGCTCCTTCAGACAGTGAAACAACAGCAACTCGGTGACAACACAGTGGAAGGCCTCCCCACACAGACCAAAGTAGGAATTTCTGAATGTGGGTGTGGCCACCCCATAGGCCAGCTCCCAGAAAAGCAGGCGAGTCATGAGTAAATTCAGTTCAGCATGACAGATGTGCTGATCACAACACATTAGTTGGCCTCCATGTATTCTTGGGGTAGACACTGAACAGTGTGACTGAGATCAGGCAGGCTTCATGTAGGCCACAGAGGTGAAGTGACCTGCTGGCTGATACAGTTTCCAAAGGGGAATGATATAAAAGAACACAGGACAATCTGGCCAGACCTGGCAGAGAGACCAACAGGACAAATACTGGGGTCTACAGACCAAGAATCCCTCCTCTGGCTTTCCTGCAAATCATGAATGGACCCCACACAGATTCTGACCACAAACTATCCCCTTTAACTTCAAGGAAGAAATGGGTGCCTGTGTTTCAGCAGACAAAGTAGATGGGCACTGACGTAGCAGAGCCTCAACTCCAAGGGCTAGAGCAACACCAACTACAGGTTTGCCCACCAGGGATAACCCAATAGCTCCCAGTAACAATGTGGAATGGTGTCAATCATGATGTAACAAAGATACTATTGACCTTGTACTGAGGAGCAGATGCCTGATCCCCTTTCTTCATATCCAGACAATATCCCCACTGACATGCTCATCATAGGACATTCCTACCTGTGCACACCACCTGGGTGTAGGATTGAACATCACACTGCTCTGCAAAGTTCACATTGATCTTGCAGTATAAAATGTTAGGCTCTGTCCCTTGGCAAGACACGAATTTCTGTTCTTGATTTCCAGTCCCTGCTCCGTGATGAGCTCTGGACCACTGCAGAGCGGTGCCACACTGCAGGTCTCTGCACAGGACACTTGCCTCTTCCTTTTGTAGGTCACACTTCAGGATTGGGAGAGACCCACTCAACAACTCAGGAGACCCAGCACATGGACTGGCACCTCTGGTCAGCTTGACTTGCTGAAAGTTACCACCTGTGGTACAGGAGAAAACCCACTCCTAAAAGCCGCTGCCAAGAGTGCATGATCAGGGTCTGCAGACTGACTTTTAGTCTGAAGCAATGTTTACAGGATCCCTGGTGGTGTCACCAACCTTGACCACTCCCCTGGAATAACAAGACAGATACAGCCCATCCTCCCAGAATGCTATCACAGACTGAGTGTACACGGGGAAGATGGCAACTCACAGGAGAGCTTGGGACAGGGCTCATTCCTCACAGACATGTCAAGTCTCCCTGATTTGAGCTGTGCCTGGTGCACAGTGACAGTGTATAGGAACCCCAATGTGTCCCCTGAGGTGATCTAGGTACAGCAGTGACATTCAGAGCCGATGGCTGACTTTAAAAAATACAGGAAAAATTAGTGAGGAGAGGAACAAGGAGATTGAGAACTTCTTTCTTTAGAACAGAGAAGGTAAGCTTCCCCATGGTCTCTCACCATGGGATTCTATGGCAAGGTGTTCTCACCTGCCCACACCCTCTCCTCCCCTGGACACTTACCTCAATGCCTCTAGTTCCAAGACAGGAAAGAAGACTGTGGAGGGGGCTAGGGATTTGAACAGCCCCCATCTGACTCACCTGTGCAGATAATTGACACCACACACTGGCACTTGCAGTCACTGAGGGGCCCCCAGATCCCTAGAGAACACTCCCAGAGGGTGGCCTCCTCACCGCTGCACTTGGTACTATACAGCCAGGGAGGCTTCATCTCTTCAGGCCTCAAAATATACTGGAAGGTAGAACGTGCATGGCTACAGCCAAGCTGTCTGCAGGTCACCGAAGCTTCCTGAATGCCCCAGTGGTCACCACACACAAGGCCTTGCTGCCCACTGTGCTCCACTTCCAGACGACCATCACATTGGTTTGAACCATCTATGAGACTCAGGGAATTCTCCCCAATCAGTCCTTCCGGGATAAGACATGAGTTAGATGAAGAAGATCCTGGGAATTTCATTCAAAATGTTCCTTGATTAGAAAACTCATCATCACTGTCTATCAGTTACTCCTTTTTCTTAGATTCCCTCACTATAAGTATTCTGAATTATCCCAGAATCGAAATGGTTGCTTTAGTGAAACCTAAGTTAGCAGAAACTAGCACACAGAAATGAGACATCAGACATCACCAGCACTATGCTACCACTGACCTTGGCTGCCAATATTTTCGCACCTGTGTCCCTCACATCTATCAACAGCAGTATACACTCACCAGAAGGGAGGGTCCAGCAGGCCAGCAGTAGGAGCCACAGAGCCTGAGAGGATACTGCCATTCTGGATCCCACTTTGGCATCGGCAACCCAAACTGATAGTCTCAGTTTAGGCACTTTGTTCTGCCTCCAGGCAAAAGGTGGGCTCTAATTGGCAGTGATGCTATTCTAGGGCCAGAGCCTGTAAACACCCTGGGTTCTTCCCCTACATCAGAGTTGTCATCTGTAATCCAAAGAAGACTTTCACTCACTGTGTCAGAGCCCAGAAAGCAGCAGCAGTGTGGAGCTTCCTGCAGCTGGTACCCAATGCAACCCCAGGTGTAAGGAGGACAAGAAGCCTCCCAGCAAGCTTTCAGAGGTTGTGCCTCATGAAACCAGGGTCAACCACGACAGTGAGTATCTTTCTCTCCCACAATAGAAGACCTGGGCCAGGACCAGGACCTTCTCAAGAGTTGTTAGTCATTAGTAAGTAGATCTTAAAATTTCATCATTTCCCATTTTTCTTCCTCTCTGGGAGCTTTTCACAGGGTCCCTACAAATTCAATCCACCAGAGGTCCACAGAAATTCCCACAAATACAGATAATAAATGAAAGATATTTGTAAACTATATGAAAAAAGCTGGAGCCACCTCTAACATGGTGCTCAGGAGGGGTGTGGAGCTTCTAGGAGGGAAAGAATGAGAAGTATAAGAATGGAGACAAGCTGGAGCAGTGAAGTCAATATCCACTCCCAGGAAGGAGACAGGACCCAGCCATAGTAAAACAGATAAGAGGCAGACCCTCTTCTAACTGGGAATCCTTGGTGAAACCTCAGGCTTTTGACTGAGCTGCCATATCCTGGCCACCAACTCCCACACTATATACCATTGTCCTAACATCATGTTTAACAGAGTTTAATGGTCCATGAAAATTGGGACCAAGACTCTTGGAAGAACCTATATGAATCAGGTTCTATGACATTTTCCCCAAACACTAAAAGGTTCTGCTCTCTGCTCTGACACACTATGAGGGTCAATGTCACAGCTGAATGCCAGGAGAATCCAAACTTTTCCAGAACTTCATGCAGGCCCATGCTTGTGACAATAGATACTAACACAAATGTGCAACCTGGCCCACAGAGACAGGACAACAGGAAACACACTTCCCAGACAGGATGTGGTTGTATTGGAAAGTAAGGTAGATGTATTTTTCATAGAGTTCTCATTCAGTGAGTAGATCACATACATTGTCATTAGTGGGAAGACTATGGAGAGATAAAGACAGGGTTTGACCATGGGTTGGTGTCATGATAATTGTGATCCAAGAATACTCTGAACATGGAAGATGCAGGCCTGAATAAATATGGTAACAACTGATCTGGAAAACTTTGATTAAATTTGTCACCATTAATCTTCCAGTGTGTGCCAGACAAAAGACAAGATAGGGATAAATTCTAAAGCCTCAAGTGCATCAACAGGCCACTGAGCTTGGAAAAGCCATGCCTGGAGGTGACAATGTCAACACCAAGACTCATCAGGAGTCAGCCTCTCCTCAACAGGACTGTGAAAAGAAGAGTGAATGGGAAACCCAAAACCCTTGGCCACAAATGAGAATGAATGTTCCAGGTTAGAGTGAGAAGAGAGGCCCAGAACAAGGGCCATGGTGGAATCACAGTCATTTCTGGAAAGGACTAACAATGATTGCTATGAGGAATCAGGTGTTAAAAGGATTGTGTGCGCACACCTCAGAAGAAGCCCGACGAAGGTCAAGGACCACTCACTCTGAGGCTTTGCCTGCTTAGCAAAGGACCCCAGTCTAAGGACAAGCCTTGAAAGAAATTATATAGAGCCCAGTATCCCAGCTTAGTACTTGTCAGGGACACAGGGAAGTGACATTTGGGTCTGTAAAATGTAGGTTCTGATCATCATGAAGGCCCAACTGGGAGCAATACAGCAGGAGCGGTGAATGGATCCAGAAAAACAGAGGCACGCTTCCCAGAACGAGGAGTGCTCAGCCTCTTTCATATCCTTTGCAGGCTGTCTTCGGGCTCTTCCACATTGCCATCATCCTCTTTATGCACCAGGCTCTTGGATTCTGGAGGCTCTTCCTCTCTTCCATGAAGACAACTTCAATATGCTCACAGACACCCCGTGAGGGATGGTAGCCTGGCATTCTACAACCTGCAGAGCCTGCATCAGGACTTTGCAGGGCAAACACTGCTGTAAACTCAGCCATTCTCTCAGGTACCTGCAACTTCCTGTGCATGCTGAGATCCAACATGTAGAGATCAGACACTGAGAGCATAAGTGCCATGTGACCATACTTGTAAGCAACATCTACAGCATCAAGCTCACAGAAACTGAGTGGATTGTGATAGCCAGGAACTTTGGTCTTGCAAGTGGGGCTGTGTAGTGGTTTGAAAGAAAATTTCCCCACAAAGGTAGTGGCACTACTAGTAGCCTTGTTGGTGGAAGTGTGCCACTGTGGGGGCGGGCTTTGAGGTCTCTGTTTCTCAAGCTTCCCTCAGTGTGACAGTCAGTCGACTTCCTGTTGCTTGCAAAATGTAGCACGTAGCACTCTCAGGTCCAGCACCACATAAACCTGCACGCTGCCCTGCTCTCATTCAGGACAATAACGAACTGAACCTCTGAAACTATAAGTGAGCCACCCTCAAGGCAATGTTTTCTTTATAAGAGTTGCCGTGATCATGGTGTCTCTTCACAGCAATAGTAAACCCTAACTAAGACAGACTGCAAGAGCCTAGAGAGGGGTTGGTCAGTAAGATGGGATTAGTTTACAACAATGCATTTTACTCTTCTACATTGACAAGACAGTAGATTTAAACTGTTCTCACCACAAATAAATGATAACCTTATGAGGTAGCACATGTATTATGTCCATGTAATCATTCCATGATGTATACACATATTAAAACATCATAGTTTTGACAGGAGTGGTGGTATGTGTGTGTAACAATACTTGGAACATGGAGATGGGATATTTAATAAAGTTCAAGTCTAACCTGGGCTATATGAGACCTTATCTCAAAAGAACAAGAAAAAATTACATTATATACCTTAACTGTACATAATTTTGTTGGCCTATTGGAGAAATAAGAAATAAAATTTAACAGTATTAAATTGGAAAAATAACATGTAAAGAAGTTTTAAGAACACAACACTAATATATTTTAATTCAACTGTCAAAAGACAGTCCTGAAGCATAAACAAAGAAGACACTGTTCATCTACTCCAGATTCACAAGACTAACAGCCAATATCTCATCAAAATCATGAAGGCAGAAACCAGAAGTTTAGAAATATGTTCAAAGTGCTGGGAAAAAAATAAGTCAAGTGATGATTTATATCTCCATCAATGCTCTTCTTCCAAGTAAAGGAGAAACAAATTGAGACTTTCTGGAGTAAATGTAGCTAGGGAGCTCCTTGTTAGTCCACTTGCCCTGCAGTCAGCCCTGAAAATCACCCTCCATGATGACACCACAGGGTCCTGGGGAGCACCACACCCTCCATGATGACACCACTGGTGTCAGAAAGGTTCAAGCATCTCCCAAAACAACATAAACTATTGCTATTGTCTTGGTTGCCTTCTAGAAATTGAAAGTAAGAACCTGTTGCTAAAAACACTACACACTTCAGACATAGGACTTCGAGGGTTTGAACTGGATCTGACCTGAAGCCCCTTGCTTGAGGACTGGCTTTCATACTATTAGAAGGTACTATTTAAGCTGCCAAGAGAGAAAAGCAATCAGTGGGCCTACTAAGCTGTAAAACCTGCAAACAACAAGATGGACAGTCACGCCAGACAGCCAAATGGTGCAACCGTGGCATTTATCGTAGGGGTAACCAACGCTTGTCCAGTTGAACTTAAGGCCCACTAGATAGCAGGGGATTCACAGCTGTTATTATTAAATAATAATAATAACATGGAGCTATTTTAAGAACATTTCACCAAGAAAAGAGATCATGTAAATGAAAACTCACAATTCCTAGAAAAATACAAACGATGAAAACTGATCCAATGGGGAATGAAAATGTGAAAAGATTTATCACATGCAGAGAAATTGACTCTAAACTCTCCCAACAACGAAAAGCAAGGACAAGATGATTTCATGGATGAATTTGCTGAGCACTTAAGGGAAAATTAATACCAACCCTTTCCAAATTTTCAAGAAAATGCATGAGAGATGTCTCTAGCTCCTTATATGAGTCAGTATTATCCTGATAGACAATCCAGGCAAAGACATCACAATAATAAGAAACTACAGACTAGCTTCCTAAAATACTGATGCAAAAATCTCAGCCCTGAAGAAATGGACAGCAAAGGAAATGGTGCACCATGATCAACTAAGATTTATCTCAGAAAGACAAAGTTGACTCAGCACACTAAAGACAACCGCCATAATACAAGGTGTTAGTATAGTGAAGGGAAAAACAATGGTTACCTCAAACTGTGTACTTGATAGTCTGATATCCTTAAATAATACAACAAATGCTTTCAAAAACGAACAAAAGAAAACTTTAATGTCTCACTAAAGAGTGTTTAGGAAACACCTGTAGTAGCCTGCGCTTGGTAGTACAAGACTGAAAGCCTTTGTCCTAAGATCAGGAACTTGAGAGAAATGCCTACATTCATAACACCCATTGAACACTGGGAGAGATACAAAAGAAACCAAAGAGGGAAACTAGCAAGTAAAAGAAGGGTT